TTCCTCGAGATGAAGAATGAGACGGGGGGGGGGGGACGACGACGACGACACAGATAATAGAATAATGCCTTGTTTTGTCTGGGGAAGGGTGAGCAAACAGTGGCTATGCTGTCATTCACACCCTATATCTTCAGTGTCATCGCAGAGGGGGGAAACTACAGGCCTATACATCACAGGCCTGTATGTCCTATTCTGTAGGGACAGGCTTGAAATAAAAAGAAGGATGGCTCTCATTGTAAATAAGTCAGACACAAGGACTGCCAGGGTCTTTTCAGTGAAAGGGGAAATAAGACATACAGTACACGCTGCTTCCCTAATGCTCCTCCAGCCTTTACGGGAAGCCCTTATCTTCAAACAGATGATGACGGTTAACAAAAGGCCCCTTTATGAAATCGTTCATATTTCAGCGGAGGTCTGTGTCCTGTCCTGAGAGGTGATTGATGCATCAGGCCCGGGCCGGTGTCTTATTTACACAGTTGAGTGGGGCAATCTCAGGCCTGGAAGATAAACCTAATGAGCTTCTTTGTGTAAGGGTGCAAATGAGAGACACCATCCTCCCTTCCTCCCTCCTTCCCTATTCCATCCAAAGGGACAGTCTGGGTGATTAGGCCTTTAAATTATGCTCAAGGGCAAAGCCTAGATTTGCATCTTAGGTGTGTGTGTGTGTGTGTGTGTGTGTGTGTGTGTGTGTGTGTGTGTGTGTGTGTGTGTGTGTGTGTGTGTGTGTGTGTGTGTGTGTGTGTGTGTCAAACGGAGAGAGGCAGGTGAAGGGCAAAGGGAGGAAGATGCTTGAGGCTTGTTTGTGAGAGGTGATGGAGGGTGAGCAATGTGTGGCAGTATTTTAAGAATTTAACTATACGCTACACAACAAACTTGAGTTGTCAAAAGTAGGAGGTGACACACACACACACATTCATTTAGTCCTTTGTCTGTGGGGTAACTTTCTCCCTAATGACTTTCATTTTAGGGAGAATTTCATTTGCCCCTAAACCCTAAATATTACCCATCACTTGCTGTCACATTTCTCATCCCTTCCATTTCCTGCAGCTAAACAGCTAGGCAGGCAGGTTAATTGCTGTCACTCTCTAGTTGGACCACTGCCTAGCTCTCGTGTAGCGACAGGGGTAGCCTGGAAGTAAGATGGCACCTTGGCGCACTTATTGTAATTTATGTCAAAATGCGGCAGTCATTTAAATGGGGGTTGGATCGTTTGCATTTTGCTGCATCATGTGTCTGCAGCTAACCAGTTTACCAACATGTCAAACTCTACCAGCTTGTAAAGTGCAATATTTGAGCCAAATTAAATAAACGACTGTGCTCATAAACACAACGATTTTTTTTTTTTAAAAGCACAGGATTGACGATATAAACAACCAAAAGTAAAGAATAATAAAAAATGTATTATTTAGGCTCTGTAAAGCAAACTGAAGTCTGAGTTTAATGAGTCAAGTTATGTGGATGAAAAGTAGTTATGACTACAGAATTAATCTAAATGTTATTGAAATCACAATTTGAACTGGTGCAATATTAAAATGGCAGGATGCACAATATTTGGTAAAGGCTAAATATATGTAAAAATATAATCGTATAGTATTGAGTTGTTGCAGAGATATCCCGGCCCCATAGACTTAATAAAACAGTTGTTTGGTACAGATCCTTTTGAGAAATATGATCCTTTAATATATTTTTCAATGATAAAGAGAAAAAGGATCAATCCCTCTCATATTGTGAATAATTTCACAATTGCAATATCAGTCAAGTGTTATTCTTCCAAAATGGTGCAGCCCTAGTTGTAGTGGCGGAAGGTCTTCAAACAACTGACCCGACCACACAGCCGATAAGCCTCCATCTCGCTCTGAATATCAATACACTCCGTACAGTAGGGAGCCCATTTACAGGGGGCAGTAGTCCCGAGTATTGGCTCATCAATCCCACTGATAACCCTGGCAGGATTAAGTCTACACACCACTGTAATCAACTAACAGCCTCATTATGGGACATTATGGTATGGATCCAAAGATCAATGCATGGCTCCCTTGTACACACAGCAGCATATGATATTAAAACATAAGACAGAGATGAATTGATTGGTAATATGAGCTCAGCACAATTCTTTACGAGGGATGATCATTTTAGCATAGTAATTAGGGCACAGCAACATTCATCATTTGCTCTGATACATATCTGCAGCTGGCAAATTGCAATCAGATACAGTGGGTATCTAATCTGTGATCTCAAATCAAATTAGGTCTATTTAGACAACCTTGGGAACGGGGGTGATGAAGCCCTGACAGAAATTAAGGGCAAGGAAATTCAATTGTGATAGGACGGTTATCATTCAGATACACGGATAACTGTGTGTGGCCTTCACTTTGAACCGCATTTACAGCATTGTTGACAGAATTTGCGATAAAAATAAAAGCAAGTGGATTTAAAGGATTTTAGAATGAGAAAAGGGTCTCTAGTGCAACTTGATCTGTGTCCTATATGGCCCAATCTATGGCTACGAGACTTTAAGATGCAGCTTTTCTAATTATAGCTGCAGGTGGTATTTTGGAGCTGCTAGGTAATGGCAGAACCCACAGGGACAATGGAGAATTCATCAGTGCTTATTATTAATCATCCCCCCAGCAGTGTGATGAGAGACTGCAGCTCCTATACCCACTGGACCACTCAATGTCATTCCAAATATGGGCGGAAAATTAAACCCAACAGCCTTCAATCAGACGTGGACTGGAATGTTTGAAAAGCATCACACAGGTGCAAGCAATGGACGGACACACACATGCTTCTTATGTAACTCACATCAGATGAATATAACTGAAAAATGGCCAACGATTGCATACAAATAATTCCATCTGTGGCTGGCCTGCGCTCTCTGTCCAAAGAGTGTGAGCACGCTACAGGAAGTGTGTGTGAAGTTAACAGCACAGGGCCCCCTGTTTTAAAAAGCCTCCAGAGACCTGTTAGCTGGACTGCTCATTTCAATATGTCTGTCTCTGGGTTGGGAGAAGGCTTGGGCTGGCCTCTTTACAAGGCGCACACTGTCATACAACCCCCCCCACATCCACCCACCACTACGAGCTCTTAGCCGTATGTCCATCTCTGGGACTTAACTAGACACTTTATGCTTACGTCGTTTTTTCTGTCTCAGTGCTGTGGTCTTTTTTTTCTTTCTTTGTAAAAACGGCACAGCTTCTTTGAGTTAACATTTACATACACATGTGCTTTCTATGCTGCCATTACACATATCTTAGGAATGTCTTATGTCAGATCTCCAAATAGAACAATATTATTTACACCTTTTTATTTATAATGCAGCACTTAGAAAGATGGTATAAACACACGAAAAATAGTTTGACATTTTAAAATTGGAAAGTCCTTATCCTGCTCTCTATCTCTTTCTATTCCACCCTCAATCTGCACTGTATCTCCAAATAGAAAGCCTCTACACCTTCAAAAGTACAAGAGTGATGGCTGAGAGGGAGCGAATTGACCCCAATCAGGTGTGTGTGTGTAGAAATGGTGGTGATAAATGGAGGGGGGGGGGTTAGGCCACAGTGCTGTGATGCCGCTGCAGCCACCAGCAGGACTACTGGGTTCATGCTGTGGATGGGTGCAGAATGGGGGATGGAAGGGGAGAGCAGCCTGCAGGACATGCTTCATTTTGCAACCCCCCCCCAGATGCGGACACACAGTTCGTCATCTATTGTACTGCCCCCCCTCCCGACTGAACTGACCACAGGCTTTCAGCTGCCTCCGAAAGAGTACACACACACACACACACACATGAAAGTTCCCCAGCGAACGGAGAAGGACAGCGTGCATCATTACAAACCCGCGGCGATGTCCCCCCCCCCGATCCTCTAAACCCCGGAGCATGGCCCTCTGACCTCGTCTCCCACTGCTCTTTTGGCAAAACTGTCAAAGCCATCATTCACCGTGAAAAGACACGAGAGACACTTGACTCCTTTACTCTGCTGGCAACTGACTTTCACAACTCCTGCCCCCCAACCATCACCTCCTACAACCCCCCCGCGGTTCATTCAACCCTCAACAATACAACATGAGACGAAGAAGGGAAAGTTAAGATTTGAAACACGACGGAAGAATTTAGTAAAGCTAATACAATAGATGAAAAAGAGAAGGGGGAAAATATTCGCCAAAAGCAACAAAAAAATACTTTCTAGTTGAGACTGCATGCAAATTATTCTTTCAAAAGTGTCCCGGTCAAAGGTTTCTCTGCCGCTGGTGGGACTGTGTGTGTGTGAGCCGAGTTAGGAGGCCCTCTGGTGGATACAGCACTGCCATGACACACACACACACACACACACACACACACACACACACACACACACACACACACACACACACACACACACACACACACACACACACTATACTTTCTACTATATAGTAGTATACGTACGTACGTAACGGTTAAGGT